AGTTGTTATTGTCCGTAAAAAAATATGTTGTTATATTTAAGTACAATTCTGACTGAATTGGTTATAATATTATTTATAATCGCGTTATTATTATAGCAAAATTTGATACTTTTAAAAATAAATGTACATCATGCAGTACCTTTCATGTAAATATTAAAGAAACGAAAATGCGTAACAAATGTGACATAAATTAATAAATTATAGTATTGTTTTTATAAAATATATTTATTTATGAGAATATACTTGTTGTCTTTATTAGTACATAATTTTGTAATTTATTCCTACCATAACATTATAAATTACGTAGATAATTTAGTGTTTTCCATCTACCTGTATTTAATAACACACTGGAAAATGTTACATATATATTTAAATAATTTGTAGCATATAATTTGAAAATAAAGTAATGAATGTTAATATTTAATGATACACGTGAATGTCAATTATAACAGTGGAACCATAGATAGTATTGACAAAATTGATTTCTAGTTGAATTCATACAACCATAAAAAGAAAATTAGGAAGGGGAATATTCGCCGCCATCATGGTCTAGCCCCGCCGGTGACGTCAAGGAGTAGCGGTGTGCAATCACGCAGCGCATGAAAAACAAAGACGGTGAAAATATTTGTTCTGCATAAAGAAGGGAGAAAAGAAAAGTATGTCTGCGCACGCCTAAGAACGAAGAAGATAGCGCGAGACAAGAGAGCGCAAAGGAGGGAGAAAAGAGGCGTGCAGTAGGCAGTAAGATAGGACGTAGAACGGCTGCTGCCGTTGTGTTTGGGCTCGGCTCGGTTGTGCCGCTTCCGTTATGATACGATTCAGCGCTTGGCGCTGTGACCGGGCAATAAGTTGTTTGTGATTATGCGTAATTGATACTTTGTACAAGTTTAAAAGAAACGCGATGGAGGTGTACATCGTTTTCTCGTTTGACTGGTAACTTGCTTCTACTTCGATCGTTACAGTTCTTGTACGCCATGTGCTATTGCCACGCGTGTGTTTCTTTTCCTACTGGATTAATCTTCGTTACATTTTCGTAAAAATATTGCTAAACCGATTTAACAAGGATTACCATTCGTGATCTTAGTGATTCGTGTAAATGTAGTGTAGGAAGATACTTTCCTTTTTTCTACCCTTGAATTTTTGGCCGGCTTGCATTCAGAATCATTATAAGAACAGCAACGAGAGACATAGAAAAAAGGATAGACGGTGGATTCGGCGAGCTCGAGTACGAGAGATAACGCGAGGAGCGCAAGTGGTGTATCAAGATGGCGCATAATTTGGCACCGAGCGTCAACTGTTCGCTCGACGACATTGATCTAAACGCATTGAAGGTACATAAATATATATTATTTTAATTCTACTTGATTTTATAGTAATTATACATATACTACTCAATACTTTTCTTCCTAATTGTTCTCTCTGTATGTTCAAATTGTCGCTCTGTTCTGTAATTAACCTCGTAAGAACAGACGATGACTATTTCTTCTTCATGGAACAACGGGAGGGAGAGGTTCTCCTTGAATTTTTCTACCATTAGTATTATTTTGGACAAAATCGAAGAAATCTGTTCAATTTATGACAATATCTTATATTTCATTGACAATTATTTCGGAAATGATTAATGTGAATCACCACGTTCATTGACATTTAATACCGCAAATACCTATTGCAGCATGCAGTTTTTGTTTAAATTATCAATTTTTAAACAAATGTCGAGTAATTGAAGAAAATGTATGTAATTATATTATAATTGGATATCTACAATACATATTGATTTTCTCATGTATTATATATTTACACTAGTACATATAATTACATAAATATAGTATTTATAATATGTTGACTGAAATGTTCTATTTCACTCAAGTATATTATTCTGTACATCATTTTGTTCATGGTAAACTACAGAATTATTTTGCATAAAAAAATGATTGTGTCGCTATTACCATTGATGTACAGAACATTTTTCTGTTTGAAAATTATATTTTTCAAAAATTGCTTTCTTCAAAAATGAAAAATTAAAAAGGTAAGAAAGATTTATACACTTCTATAAAATACATAAAAATCTATAAAAAGCACCTATTGAATGTTAAAAATATAAATATGTGTTAAACAGCTTTATCGTAAAGTACAAAAGGATGAAATATCAGATAAATTATTTAGGTTTTATGGTTGCCTGTGGTCTCTGCATGGTTTTAAAAAACAATTATGTAAAATTTGGTTCATATTAGTATGATATATTAGATATCTTTAGACCAATTTGGACCAAATTTTGCATAGTTACTTCGTCGGACTCTTCGGAATCTTATCCATAAAGATGTTTTTAATATTGTATGTACTTACAAACTTATGTTCCTTTTGATAAAAATGTCTAATGTATTATTAAAAAATTAATTCATATAATTGAAACGTCTTCATCAATATATGTTCTAAGTTTAATTGCACATTATTACATTACTAAAAAGTGTTACTAAATATGTAAAATAGCTCAATTTATGACAGTATGATCAAATTACAAAATTAATTATATATACTAAATATTACTTATAAATTCTTTTTAAAACTATCAGAAATAAAATCAATAGTCCCTAAAATATGGGGTGATACAGAAGATACTTATTTTAAACATTGAACAACTTTGAGACAAAAGGAGATAAGAGAAACTGCCTTGGAAATTACTTTGGCTTTATTATGGAATTAGTAACTGTCTAATTTCATATTTTTTTCCAGTTTATGCATTCTTTGAAATGTATTCATAGAAACTCTTTTCTGAAGATAACCCTAAAGAAAAAATTGAAGACTGTCAACTCTGGTCAACATGATGGCCAGATAATTTTTGATTTGACGTGAAAATAATTTGTTACTTTTATTTAAATTGAATATTTATTGAAGAAGCTTTATTATTGATCTTGTAATATGAGCAGTCGCAGAATCTTAATAAAACTTTGACTGTCATTTATGTTATGTTTGTCATATAAGTAGATATAAAGAATTTTCATTCATATCTTGGTACCAATCTTCTATTACTTTTATTGCAGTGATATGCTTTTTGTGTAACCAAAGTGGAACAGTTATTTCAAGTTAAAATTAAACAATTCTTATTCTTTGCTTAATTATGTACTTTTTTTATAATAAGTCTTATATATGTTTATTGAATATGTCTGAAGGAAATGGATAAATGAATCTTTTAATTTTTAAAATGGTAACTTTTGGACTATCTTCTATAAATAACTTGCTTGTTAAATAGACAACTTCTTAAAACTTAACTTAATCTAAAGATTAAGATTCTTCTAGTGGCAAACTCACTTTTCAGTTTTTTAAAATTTTAATTTCTCAGAAATTGTAGTTATTATAAGAGTTGTTCACAGATCAAAATATTTAATTCCATTTTTTTAATGTTTTCCAATTTTAGTGTCCAAATACTTGTTTGGTTCTTTATGTATGTAATATCATTAAAATCTTTTTATTTTTCATTTTATGGAGTTGATTACTTTGACAAATTGCAATGACTCGTGCATCAACGATTTTATACATTTGTATAGCATTCAGATACTTGGAAAATAATAATGTAATAAAATGTTTAAGAAATATGCATTTTCAGTTCTGTTTTTATATATCGCTTTATAAAAATGTGTTCAGTTCCAAAAATATTACTGTTTAATCAAGATATTTTATACATACTGTATGTAACACGCATTCATATTTACTACATTTATGTGTATTATGTTAAAAAATACAATAGTATTTTAATATTGTAGGAACCTGCTGGTATCTTCGAATTGATTGAAGTGGTAGGCAATGGAACTTATGGTCAAGTTTATAAAGTAAGTACATAAGTTTTTATGATTATTTCATAAGTATTGTCCTTTTATTTTAAGAATCATTTGAAATAAAAAATGAACATCTTGTTAGATGTTATGAAAAATTCACAGCATTTAATATTATTTATTTTGTTACAAATATATAAAATAATAATCAGTATTCTAATTAACAAGTCTTAATTAACAGTATTATGTGATTTTATTTAGTTTTGCTATATTATTGCCTGTGTTACATATACCTATATTAGTTCACTATTACTTTGTATGTAAGTATCTCAAAATGTTATTTTACAAATGATCAGCTGACATAAATATAAATTTATAACA